TAATTTCTTTTATGTGTGAGATATTTCTTCACATTATTACAGTATTAAGTAGATCACAGGGGCAATACAAAACATTTTACTTTGAATAATATTTAAATTACCTATCAACAAGAGTTGAAAAAAAAAAAAAAAAAACAGGAAATACATAAGGGTTCATACATCCATCAAACCTTCACAATATATTACTTCAATCTTGCTGCTGCAAATCATCAAATCACATTATTTCTACAGCTTAATAATTAATAAATGGCCATGCACATCATGATATCATACCAAAGTACTTCAAAGTTCAAAGGCATTGGTAAAGCTGAAGAGGAAGGCGTGGAGCAAGCAAAACCTCCAGTGGATTTGCTTTAGGCAACGCAAGCCCCAATCCTTCCTTCATATCCACCGCCCCATCACCGACTCTACTCATATCAAATCCCTGAATCAAACGAGCCAGAACCAATTGCACCACATGCAGCCCTAGTGTCATACCAGGGCAAGACCTTCTACCTGCACTAAATGGAATATACTCGAAATTACTTTGACCTTTGAAATCCACGTCAGCATGAGTGGTCATGAACCTCTCAGGTTGAAACTCACAAGGGTTGGTCCACATGCGTGGGTCCCGCTGCAACTTCCAAATGTTTACTAGTAAACGAGTGCCTTTGGGGATGAAGTAACCACCGAGATGACAGTCCTCCATGGCCTCACGGAGGCCTGTGATTGGGCCAGGTGGGTATAGGCGTAGGGTTTCCTTAAGAATGGCTTGGAAGTATTTGAGGTTTGTGAGGTCTGATTCTTGAACCCATCGGTCTCTTCCTACGTGGATGTCCAACTCTTCCTGGGCAGATTTGAGGACTTTTTGGTTGTTGAGGAGTAAGGAGATTGCCCATGTTAGTGTCACAGATGTGCTTTCTGTGCCAGTTATCATTAGCACTTGCGAAAGGAAGGAAAATAGAAAACAAATTAATCCAAGTTTTCCAATCCTAACTTATACGATATAACTGATGCTTATTTATTTGTAACAAAAAAAATTGACATGTTATGTGTTATGTCAATTGGTAAAACAAATTAAATAAGAGTTCGTTTATGTAGTATTATACTTGGCACATGTCACTTAGTATTAAATTGTTTATGATCACTGTCAAGTGTAACCTCAGAGTGCATACTAATTAATTATAATTCTACAAGTTCAAACAACCTTAGTAATAACAAAGTTTACAGTGTCTTTGGTGCACCATTTTGTATTTACAGTTAGGTATTTAAATATGAACATGTGTTATATTCTAGTGGACTCATAACACCAAGTAAACCATATGGTTTGTACCATATACATAATTATATATTACACCAAACAAACTTACCAGTGCTGTTGCTTTGATGACAGTATCACGGTTATGGCCATAAATTTCATCCTCCTCAAAGTTGGATATCATAACATCCATCAAGTCACTCTCAACCATATTATCCTTGCTTTCCAATCTCCTTTGTCGATGTTCTTCGAGCCATTTCCCAAGTACGTAGTCCAGTTCCTTAAAACATTTCTTCATGGAACTCACGTGACCAAACAAACCGTCCAGCCACTCAAAACATGGCATAGCATCTGACCAGACAAAAACACCAAAGAGATACAAAGTCTCTTTTATCGCCTTCTCAAAACGCCAAACGTCCCTGTGTTTCTCATTATACTGGTCAGCCGTCAATCTCTTCCCAGCGATCAGCTTCACGTTTATGTTAAATGTCAAGTGCTCTAATAACTCACTCATATGCACTGATGACGACGATGACGGGGAACTTGGATCCACATTATCTTTTTTGCAAACTAGTGAGTGCAAAGTTTTGATGAAGGAGTCAACTTCTGAGGCCCTGACGTGGCTCGAGGTTTTCACTCTTCGGCTCGAGAGAAGCTCCATGGTGGCCATTTTGCGGACGTTGCGCCAGTAGTCTCCGTACGGAGCAAGGGAAAAGATGGCGTTGTCATAGCCCAAGTACCTGCCGCCGGCTGTATTCGCCCGGGTGGCGGAAACTCTGTCATTTTTGGTGAACAATTCCTGGACGTGTTCCCAAGCGCTGAGAACAAGCAGTTCGTGCTGGCCAAGCTTGAGGGAGTAGATGGGTCCGAGTTGATCAGCCATGGCTCCGAGGATAAGTGCAACTGGGTTTTTGTCACGTAGTAGAGGGAGGTGACCTACAAAGGGCCATGCTCCGGAGGGTTGAGGGACTTTAGGCATCATGGTCTTTTTGTTGGTTCTGTTCTTCTTAGTGTTTGCTGTTGCTATGACTCTCAAGGCACCATAGAGAATTAGAGAAGCTAAAATTGCATGAAAGATTTGGAATGGAGAAATTGTTGAATCCATGGTGGTGACTGGTGAGAGAGAGTTAAGTGGTAGTAAGATTGTGTGGAGGATATATAGACTAGTAGATTTTGGGATGTGTTGTAGGAAAAGAGGCGTGCAGCACGTATTCCATGAAAGAATTGAGTTTCACTCAAATAGCATTTAAAATCCACGCACGTGACAAATATTCATTGTACTCTTGCTGAGCCCTTCAAACTAGGCGGGTATAGTTTATATGCGCATAACATATTCATTATACATGTGTTTTTAGTAAAAGACGAAAGAAAAACAGTACTGGGAGGACCCATTTTTTAGGGACTCTATTACGGTCCATACGTTTGAAGTGTCACACCATGTGGAAAGCACATGCATTTTTTGAAGTGTCACACTACATGTGGAAAAGAGGCAAGAGCCACAAACTTGATGGCCATGGCCCACAAGTAGTGGCCTTTTCTACTCAAAAACCACAATTTTTGGTTACTCTTTCTTTCGGTACCATGTTTTGCATTGCTGATGATAAGTTGATATTATACTATATATTTTATCTTAATTTTAGTTATGATTTAGTGGTTTTTTTTGTGAAAATTTTGATGCTTTGATTTATATTCTTAATGTAGAACATTCGACTTCCTCTGGAGCAAAATATGATGAAGCGGACGATTTTTAGAGTGATTCAAATTGGAGGACGTTCATGTGTCTCTCAACTTGTTCGTATCAAAGTTTCATAATTTTCTACCTAGCAGTTTATTTATGGCAATGAAATATTATTTGGGCTTTTTGGTGTCTAAGATGATGTCTTTTGGGTTCAAGGCCATCTGCAATTATGTTTGGGACATCTAAAGCTTTAATTCTAGGGAGTTTTAACAAAAAACTCCCGATACTATTCACTTTTAACGAAAAATCATATTTTTACCTTTTCCTGATACTATTCATTGCACCTATATTTGTCATTTTTCATTAAAACTAAAGTTTTTTTGGAGTTTTCATTAGTTTTCCTTTAATTCTAGTCATTTGGGCCTACTTTAGAGCCTTGAAAGTTCAAAAAGTGATTGATTTGTGGTTGGGCAGATTTCTCATATTTGATTAAGATTATGTTTCCTAGTTTCTTTTAAGTTATTATGTTTCCTAATTTTATTCTAAGACCTTTTCTAGGTAGGTTTTATTTTCTAGTAGTATAAATAAGGCTATTTAGCCATTAGAAAGTGAGGGGAAAAAAAGGCGAACACACTACTTTGGAGCTTTTAACAATTCAAGTTTATTTATATTTTGTTTATAATTGTTAGTAACTAATCTCTTTTGCAGGATGAGGCCACGAGTCTTACCAAGAATATGTAGTTTCTTTTCAATTTACTTATGATATTATACATGTAGATTTGAATTATTAATCATCGGTTTAAACTATCTAATTGTCTTGATGCTTAGCTACCATTAGGATCTTTAAAAAAGTAATTTGATGCAATTTTGATCGAAAGTCAGTTCCTGAAATTGACAAAGGCTTCTTGTGGTTAATATGTGGAAGTTCACTTAGGATGAATACCACGCCTTAAGGGTTGCATGTTTTTTCAAAAGGTTTCACAAAACTGAATGAGTCATGTATATTTAAATTTGATATGAATACCACATACAGATTGTATGTTTGATATATGCTCTATGTTGGGGGTCCAAGTAGGCATATATTAGGAAAACTTAACCTTCAAATATGCATACGTAATTCATAAGTAAGTGGAAGAACTACATAGGATTGTTAAGGTAACGACGGAACCCTCGTGCTTTCACAATTTAATTTTTAAAAACCATTTTCTTTTAGTTTATTTTATTTTGCCAATTTATTTAATTATTTCTCTTAAATTCGTTTTTATTATTTTAAATCACCAAATCAACCTTTTCTCAAACTTTGTTTTAAATAATTAATTAAGATTTAATTTTGACATAAATATTCATTCAATCCTTGTAAAAAACAACCTTGCTAGAGCTACTATACTACGATTACCTTGTCCTCTTGCAAGTATTTTAAGTGTTTTTGTACTTTTGCAGGTGGTAAATATCCCATCAAGAAATTGGCGTTATTGCCAGGGATTGTTTTAAATAATTTGTGTACATCAATTCTTAGTTAATTATTTTTGTAAATATTTTTTTATTTACTTGATTTTTTTTTTAGGTAACAATTTGTTGATTTTGAGAGCATTGCAGCAATGGATTGGTTTGGATTCTCACAAGGAGCACCTACAGTTTGTGCTCTTTGCAATTTGAATACCCATGATATTATGTATTGTCCTCAAAGCCAGTATTTTCTAGAGTTTGTGCAGCACCTTATAAATATGAGGAACAATTTCAGAGGCCTAGGTGCAACTCAAATTTTTCCAATCCATCTTGGCCAGAGCATAAAAATCCTATGTGGGAGTGTATTAAACAGCCTTTTGAACAGCCTCATGCACCAGCAAAAGCTGAATCCTTCAGTTGCATTTGCACTACTACAAAAGGACCTAATAGTGTCACTTCTTGCGTCGGTTTAATATTATATAATGGCGAAAAAGAGCTTTGCGACACTCACTGAAGATGACGTCGTATTTAGTGTCGCTTATAAGCGTCATAAAATTTCTATGTCGCTTTTAAACCGACATAAAAATTTAATGTCGCTTATAACCGACATATATTTTAATATTTTTAAGCAATGGCGTCGCTTTAAATAAAATAGTGTCGCTTTTAAGCGACATAAACTATGGGTGTCGCTTCTAGGCGACACTAATTCTTGTTTTTAATATTTTAAATCCTGCGTCGGTTTTGAGCGACATATATTTTGAAAACCAGTGTCGGTTGTAAGCGACACATTGTTACTCTTTATACCCTCTCCCCCGTGTTTTCTTTTTCTTCTCTTGCACTTTTCTTATTCGTTCTTCCAACCTTTACAAAGTCTCCCGTGTTCCTCTTTCAGCTTTCTCCTTTGGTTTGCACTTCATTTGTACCTATGTTCTCTCTTTCAGCTTTCTCCTTTGGTTTTCAAAATTCATTTGTTCCTCTTCACAACAGTAAGTTTTTCTTGCTTATAATATTTTTATTTTCTCCTCTTATGTTTAATTTTTAGTTACAATTTATTTTTGTAGGAAAGTTATTGGAGTTGGTTGAGTACATAAAGAATTGTTGACGTCGAAATTCTTCAACAAATCAGGTTTGTATCCCTAACTTCTTTAATTTTTAAATTGTATAATACACAAGTTTATTTATTTAAAAATTATAATTTAAGCACTTAGATAAAATTCTACTATTTTTGTTAAATTAATAAAAATTTAGTCGAATTAATTAATTTTGTCACTCTAATTGTTATTTTAATTTGTTGTTATTTTGATAATTTTTTGTTGTTATTTACTAGAATGAATTAGATGAACATAATTTGAATTGTTATGAGAAAATGGAATGAATAATATTTATAAGCATTTATGTTAAATTAACAATATTAAATATAACATAAACTTATAATATTGAGTAATATAAGAATATATTATGTTAATTTTTTTTTTTTGCACTCTAAGTGTTATTTTAATTTGGTGTTATTTTGATAATATTTTGTTGTTATTTACTAGAATGGATTAGATGAACATAATTTGAATTGTTATGAGAAAATGGAATGAATAATATTTATAAGCATTTATGTTAATTAACAATATTAAATATAACATAAACTTATAATATTGAGTACTATAAGAATACAATATGTTAATTTTTTTTTTTTTTTGCACTCTAATTGTTATTTTAATTTGTTGTTATTTGATAATTTTTGTTGTTATTTACTAGAATGGATTAGATGAACATAATTTGAATTGGTATGAGAAGATGGAATGAATAATATTTATAAGCATTTATGTTAAATTAACAATATTAAATATAACATAAACTTATAATATTGAGTAATATAAGAATATATTATGTTAATTTTTTTTTTTTTTTTGCACTCTAATTGTTATTTTAATTTGTTGTTATTTGATAATTTTTGTTGTTATTTACTAGAATGGATTAGATGAACATAATTTGAATTGTTATGAGAAGATGGAATGAATAATATTTATATGCATTTATGTTAAATTAACAATATTAAATATAACATAAACTTATAATATTGAGTAATATTATAATATATTATGTTAATTTTTTTTTTTTTTGCACTCTAATAAGAATATAAGCTAAACTTATAATATTTAGGAATATAAGAATATAAGAATATAACCTTTCATAAGAATATAACCTAAACTTATAATATAAGAATATCCTTTCATATAAGAATATAACCTTTCATATAAGAATATAACCTAAACTTATAATATTTAGGAATATAAGAATATATTAATTAATTTTTTTTGCACTCTAATTGTTATTTGAATTTGTTGTTATTTTGATAAGTTTGATAACTTTTGGTTGTTATTTATTAGAATGGATTAGATGAGCATAATTTTGACAACTTTTTGTTGTTATTTTAATTTGTTTTTACTATAATAGGTGTTGAAAATTAAAAGATTGCAATCGTGATAGAGTTCGAGGGGTGAAAGATAGAAATTGAAAATTTTGATAGTTATGCCTACATGATAGGGATTGAAAGATTGTAGGCATCTTAGTGTCAACGTAATATTTTACCTTCGTAAAGTGGTAAAATATGGACAAGAGTTGGTTGACAATACCCCGAAATTTTGAAGCGTATACAACTAGAATTAATTTGTTTTTGGATCAAGCAGTTGCAAATGGTGTTGGTCCTGATAAGTTTAGATGTCCTTGCAAAAGATGTTGTAATTGATATTCTTTTGTTAGGAACACCATTGTTGAACATCTCATATTGTATGATATGGATAAAGATTATAAAAACGCTTGTTGGCGACATCATGGCGAGCAAAACATTGGAGAGCAAAATGTGGGAATTGGAGAAGAAGAAACAGGAGATGAGGTGATTGGCATGCATGATTTTCTTAATGATGTATTTGTCCAACCATTAACAGAAGAAGGTGTTGGGCCATCTACTGAACCCCCTATTGGGGAAGGGCGTCCAGAAGAGGTGCAGACTTTTTTTAAGTTGCTTGAAGAGGCAGATCAAGATTTGTGGCCAGGTTGTAAGGAGTTTAAGAAATTGGAAGCAGTTGTAAGATTGTATCAGATCAAGTGTTTAGCGGGAATGCCTGACGAGATCTTCACCACTTTACTGGAGTTAATTAAAAGAATGTTGCCTGAAGGGGATTGTTTGCCTGAATCCTGTTATAAAGCAAAAAAACTTATAAATGACTTGGGGCTGTCGTATGTGAAAATTGATGCATGTCCCAATGATTGCATGATCTATTGGAAAGATACTTCAGATTTGACCGTGTGCTCAGTTTGTGGTAAATCAAGATATAAAATTACCAATGCAGAGGATAGCTCGAGGAAAAAGGTCGCAGCTAAGGTTATGTGGTATTTTCCTTTAAAACCACGATTGCAACGCTTTTTTATGTCGAAGCATATGGCTGAACATATGAGATGGCATGCAACTGAATGTCCTAAGGATGAGTTTATGAGACATCCTTCAGATTCTCCCGCATGGAAGCATTTGGATAATTTATATCCGGATTTTGCGTCAGAAATTCGAAATGTCCGATTAGGGTTAGCCAGTGATGGATTTAATCCTTTTGGGAAAATGAGGAATGATCATAGCACATGGCCTGTGGTGCTTTCTGTTTATAATTTGCCACCTTGGATGTGCATGAAGCAACCAAATTTGTTATTGTCTTTGTTAATACCAGGACCGCGCAGTCCTGGTAAAGAGATTGATGTATACATGCGTCCATTGATTGACGAGCTGAATGAGTTGTGGGAGGTGGGCATTCCCACTTATGATGCGTTTTCCAACCAAAGTTTTACGATGAAGGCTGCCGTGTTATGGACCATAAGTGATTTTCCGGCTTATGGAATGTTGTCAGGATGGAGTACACATGGTTATAAAGCTTGTCCACATTGCATGCATGATAAAGAATCTATTTACTTGCCAGCGAGTCGCAAGATTTGTTATATGGGGCATCGACGATTTCTTGAAGATAATCATAGGTTTCGAAGGCAAACCATCACTTTTAATGGTCGTCGAGAGCATCGTACTGCACCAAGGCAGTGGACTGGTTTACAATGTCTCGAAGAACTTTCTACATTGAGATTTACTTTTGGAAAACCAAACAAGGATGCTTCAGTTGGGCAACGCAGAAGAAGAGCTTCGAGCAGTACAAGTAGTAACAGTCAGTGGAAGAAGAAATCGATTTTTTATGAACTACCTTATTGGAGGCATCTCTTGATTAGACACAATCTTGATGTTATGCATATCGAGAAGAATATATGTGATAGTGTGGTGGGAACATTGCTAGATATAGAAAAGTCTAAAGATGGATTGGCGGCACGTGCAGATCTTGAATTCTTGAACATAAGACATAGTCAACACCCACGTAGAGAAGGAAATAGAACATTTCGACCTCCAGCATTGTTCACATTGAAAAGAGAAGAAAAAACTGCGTTTTGTAAAGTATTGTCTACTATTCGGGTCCCAGATGGATATTCATCAAATCTGTCACGATGTGTGCACGTGAATGAACGAAAAATACATGGGTTGAAAAGTCATGATTGCCATGTTTTAATGCAGCAGTTACTCCCGCTTGCAATACGCCCGATTTTGCCTAAAGCTGTTACTATGGTTTTATTAGAGTTGAGTGCAATTTTCAGACAGTTATGTAGTAAGAAGGAGTCTGAGGAAGGATTTAAGCAACTGAATTCAAGAATTGCCTTGACATTATGTCAACTTGAGAAAATATTCCCTCCTGCATTTTTTGATATAATGGTGCACCTCCCAGTTCACTTGGCAGATGAAGCAGCGCTTGCAGGCCCTGTTCAATATAGATGGATGTATCCAATTGAACGGTAATGAATAAATTTTTATAATTTTTTTACAATTGTAGTCATAACTTTAATTAATAATTATAATAATTTGTATTTTGTTTTATAATTGTAGGTATTTGCAAACACTGAAGCGCTATGTTCGTAATAAGGGTCGTCCTGAAGGTTCTATTGCTGAAGCATATTTGGTGGATGAGTGCTTGTCATTTTGTTCCATGTATCTTAGAGACGTTGGTCTCGTCGTACCCGTAGAGGCCGAAATGAAGATGGGATTGGACGTGGAGTATCTGGTGGGTTATCAATTTTTGACTCGAAAGGATGTTATATGGGTTCAGGAGAAAATGTGGAGCTCAATCTAAATGTTCTTGATCAGTGCCATAGATACATTCTAAATAATTGTGATGAAGTTAGCCCATTTAGAAGGTAAGAATGTTTAATCATACGTCGAAATGTTTTATTGGTTTTCTTAACTTTGAAAAAATAATTATCTAAATTGGACATAATTGTGTAGGCAACATGAAGAATTCTTGAAAACTAAATATCGTCGAGAAAGGTTAACTATGCGACAAATTAAAGAGCTAAGCAAGAAAGAATTTCCAGAATGGTTCAAGCAACATGTGAGTTGATATAATAATCATATTATTTATTTATTGTTTTGCATTTTATTTATAACATGTTTATAGTTATTCTGTCAATATTTATCTTCATACTTATTACAGATGAATTCAAGATATGATGCTAATGACACATTGATATCTCAAGACTTGCATTGGCTAGCTAATTATCCTAGTAGGGTTGTGAGCAGATACAAAAGTCACATTGTTCATGGATTTAGATTTCGTATAAAATCTGTGGATGATAAGCATAAGAATCAAAACTGTGGTGTCTTTGTACCTGCAAATGTTCCTGGAGCAATTGGGCAAGTAAATTGTTATGGCAGAGTTGTAGATATGTTCGAGGTCAAATATTGTGGTCCTACTGAAGCAGGAGATAGGGGTCGAGCTGTGATGTTATTTAAGTGTGAATGGGTTAATAGTGAAAGTCCACGAGGAATGAAGACTGATCAATATGGATTTACTATGGTGAATTTCAATCAATTGGGATTTAAAGAGGATCCTTTCATACTAGCATCACAAGCATTACAGGCATTTTACGTGGAGGACACGATTGAAAAAGATTGGCACGTAGTTGTTCGAACTCAGCCAAGAGATTTATTTGACGTATTAGAGGATAGTGATGCTATTGATGATTATGACACGCCGAACTTGGATGATCGAATTCTTGATAATGAAAATTTTCATACAAGGGTTGGCGTGGAAGAGACTCCCTTTCTTGAATCATTAGCGTTGCCTACCGGGTTCGTTAATCATGCCAATACCGATGAAGAGCTAACAGATGATGACAGGGAATAAATATATTAATTATTTTTTGTTAATTATTTTTTGTATTAATTAGACTTTGTTTTATTTTGTATGCTATGATATCGTATCATAAAATTATATTTCTGTTTTTTTTTTTTTTCCTTGACATTCTGTCGCTTTTAACCGACGGCATTTTTCAGGTATGTCAGAATTGGCGTCGGTTTTAACCGACGCAACCCCAGCCTATTTCGACGCAATGTTAAGCTTAGGACATGTGTGTCAGACTTGGCGTCGGTTTTAACCGACGCAACCCTAGCCTATTTCGACGCAATATGAGACTATTTCGACGCAAGATACTTGTTGTCAATCATATGCATTACCCCTAATAATAATAATTATATATAATTATTTTTTATTATTTGCAGTTTTATAGCCTAAATATTAATAATTATATATTAATTTAATTGTTTTACACCCCTAAAAACAATAATAATTATATATTAATTTAACTGTTTTACACCCCTATACGAATGCAATGAATGTTTTACACCCTAATAATAATAATTATATATAATTATTTTTTATTATTTGTAGTTTTATACCCCTAATAATAATAATTATATATTAATTTAACTGTTTTACACCCCTAAAAACTAAAATAATTATATATTAATTTAACTGTTTTACACCCCTAAAAACTAAAATAATTATATATTAATTTAACTGTTTTACACCCCTATACGAATGCAATGAATGTTTTACACCCTAATAACAAGTGGATACCACAAAATCTTATGTTATACTTAATGAAAGTATAAATAAACTCTAAGTGTTAGCCAATCTATCGTTTTACGAATTCTCCAAAACTAATTTCAACGATCCAAACCGTCAAAATTGTTTGTATATGCTTGGAGATCACATCAGCAAAAAATCACAAAAAAAAAACATTCAGAGATCAAGTAACGGGACAAAGCTTTTCGACGGTTATAAACGAAAAATCACGATTTAACGGTTATTTTAACTCCGATTTAGATGATTTTTTATAACTACACTCCTTGACCCTATATGAATACAATGAATGAATTCGATCTTCAATTTAAAATATTTACACAAGTGGATACCACAAAATCTTATGTTATACTTAATGAAAGTATAAATAAACTCTAAGTGTTAGCCAATCTATCGTTTTACGAATTCTCCAAAACTAATTTCAACGATCCAAACCGTCAAAATTGTTTGTATATGCTTGGAGATCACATCAGCAAAAAATCACAAAAAAAAAACATTCAGAGATCAAGTAACGGGACAAAGCTTTTCGACGGTTATAAACGAAAAATCACGATTTAACGGTTATTTTAACTCCGATTTAGATGATTTTTTTATAACTACACTCCTTGACCCTATATGAATACAATGAATGAATTCGATCTTCAATTTAAAATATTTACACAAGTGGATACCACAAAATCTTATGTTATACTTAATGAAAGTATAAATAAACTCTAAGTGTTAGTCAATCTATCGTTTTACGAATTCTCCAAAACTAATTTCAACGATCCAAACCGTCAAAATTGTTTGTATATGCTTGGAGATCACATCAGCAAAAAATCACAAAAAAAAAACATTCAGAGATCAAGTAACGGGACAAAGCTTTTCGACGGTTATAAACGAAAAATCACGATTTAACGGTTATTTTAACTCCGATTTAGATGATTTTTTATAACTACACTCCTTGACCCTATATGAATACAATGAATGAATTCGATCTTCAATTTAAAATATTTACACAAGTGGATACCACAAAATCTTATGTTATACTTAATGAAAGTATAAATAAACTCTAAGTGTTAGTCAATCTATCGTTTTACGAATTCTCCAAAACTAATTTCAACGATCCAAACCGTCAAAATTGTTTGTATATGCTTGGAGATCACATCAGCAAAAAATCACAAAAAAAAAACATTCAGAGATCAAGTAACGGGACAAAGCTTTTCGACGGTTATAAACGAAAAATCACGATTTAACGGTTATTTTAACTCCGATTTAGATGATTTTTTATAACTACACTCCTTGACCCTATATGAATACAATGAATGAATTCGATCTTCAATTTAAAATATTTACACAAGTGGATACCACAAAATCTTATGTTATACTTAATGAAAGTATAAATAAACTCTAAGTGTTAGTCAATCTATCGTTTTACGAATTCTCCAAAACTAATTTCAACGATCCAAACCGTCAAAATTGTTTGTATATGCTTGGAGATCACATCAGCAAAAAATCACAAAAAAAAAACATTCAGAGATCAAGTAACGGGACAAAGCTTTTCGACGGTTATAAACGAAAAATCACGATTTAACGGTTATTTTAACTCCGATTTAGATGATTTTTTATAACTACACTCCTTGACCCTATATGAATACAATGAATGAATTCGATCTTCAATTTAAAATATTTACACAAGTGGATACCACAAAATCTTATGTTATACTTAATGAAAGTATAAATAAACTCTAAGTGTTAGTCAATCTATCGTTTTACGAATTCTCCAAAACTAATTTCAACGATCCAAACCGTCAAAATTGTTTGTATATGCTTGGAGATCACATCAGCAAAAAATCACAAAAAAAAAACATTCAGAGATCAAGTAACGGGACAAAGCTTTTCGACGGTTATAAATGAAAAATCACGATTTAACGGTTATTTTAACTCCGATTTAGATGATTTTTTATAACTACACTCCTTGACCCTATATGAATACAATGAATGAATTCGATCTTCAATTTAAAATATTTACACAAGTGGATACCACAAAATCTTATGTTATACTTAATGAAAGTATAAATAAACTCTAAGTGTTAGTCAATCTATCGTTTTACGAATTCTCCAAAACTAATTTCAACGATCCAAACCGTCAAAATTGTTTGTATATGCTTGGAGATCACATCAGCAAAAAATCACAAAAAAAAAACATTCAGAGATCAAGTAACGGGACAAAGCTTTTCGACGGTTATAAACGAAAAATCACGATTTAACGGTTATTTTAACTCCGATTTAGATGATTTTTTATAACTACACTCCTTGACCCTATATGAATACAATGAATGAATTCGATCTTCAATTTAAAATATTTACACAAGTGGATACCACAAAATCTTATGTTATACTTAATGAAAGTATAAATAAACTCTAAGTGTTAGTCAATCTATCGTTTTACGAATTCTCCAAAACTAATTTCAACGATCCAAACCGTCAAAATTGTTTGTATATGCTTGGAGATCACATCAGCAAAAAATCACAAAAAAAAAACATTCAGAGATCAAGTAACGGGACAAAGCTTTTCGACGGTTATAAACGAAAAATCACGATTTAACGGTTATTTTAACTCCGATTTAGATGATTTTTTATAACTACACTCCTTGACCCTATATGAATACAATGAATGAATTCGATCTTCAATTTAAAATACAAAGAGTGACTCAACTCTTCTAAGCTTTCTAGGGTAATTAACTTTCCGATGTGGAGCAACTCTACATATCACCACACTTCCAACTTTGATTTGGGTTCAATGGTGTTTAATCCATTCTAGTAAATAACAACCAAATGTTATCAAATGTATCAAAATAACAACAAATTAAAATAACAATTAGAGCGCAAAAAAAATTAATTTAACATAATATATTCTTATATTCCTAAATATTATAAGTTTAGGTTATATTTAATATTGTTAATTTAACATAAATGCTTATAAATATTATTCATTCCATTTTCTCATAACAACTCAAATTATGTTCATCTAATCCATTCTAGTAAATAACAACAAAAAATTATCAAAATAACAACAAATTAAAATAACAATTACAGTGCAAAAAAAATTGATTCAACTTAATAAATTTATTTATTAAAATATTATATGACATAACATAACTAATTATTTTTAAATTTTGGGTAAAACTTTTTTATGTTTTTATGTTTTTGTTTTTGTTCCTTTTTTTTTGGGAAGTACAAATTTTATTTTTATGTTGGGCGGGAGGTTTCCCGGTATTTTTTGCTGGGAATGGGTTGAATTGATTGGCATGTCAACTTGGACTGGTTTTAATCGAGGCAAAATTATACATTTTCGAGACTAATTGAATGTCAGACGATTCTTATTTCGAAGCAAATGTTTTCATATTTCGACACAAACTTGCTCTTATTAAAAACCTGTCAGGCTAACGTCGGTTAAAACCGACGCAATGTGACCTTATTTCGACGCAATGGCATTTATGACTGAAACATGTCAGACTTTCAGTCAAAACTATGTCAGGCTATAATATAGGTCGAATCAGATATAGTGGCGGTTTTAAGCGACACAAACCTGTGCTTATTTCGACGCTATGCAAACTAACGTCGGTTTTAAACGACGCACTAGGCCCTTATTTCGACGCTATGCAAGATAACGTCGGTTTAAAGCGACGCAATAGGCTTGCACTGACAAGTATAGCAGGCTTTATGTCAGGTTACGTGTGGGGAGGTTTAGTCAGTGATTGTGTCGGTTTTAAGCGACGTAATGTATTCATATTTCGACGCTAAGTTGTTATCCATATTTAATTTCTTTGTCTCCCTTCACTTCCGTGTTCCACTTCTGTCTCTCGTCTCTATCACCCATTTCTGGCTTCCTCTTTCCCCCATTTCTGGCTTCCTCTTTCCCCCACTTCCTTCTCCTTCCATTAAGTTTTGCAATGGATAATTCCCGTGAAGATCAACGTTCTGAGGAACTTCATTTGGAAGAGGACGAGGGTGATGCTGGTTCTTTTTTGAATTGTTATGAGTGTCAGTTTTTTTTTTTTTTTTTTTTGTGTGTTTGAACGATTATTATTGCTAATCTGAAAATATACATTTGTTTCCTAGTTTTTAATTGTGTGTTTGTATTAACAAGGTACATCTCAACGGAGGCGTGGACCCTCAATTCCTAAATGGACGAAACAGCTTTGTTCGTTTGATTCGTCCGGAAAATGCATTAGTCATAACGCTAGTGCTTTTTCAAAACATGTAGCAGCGGAGGTTAG